ATCTATCTATCTATCTATCTATCTATCTATCTATCTATCTATCTATCATCTGTCTGTATCTATCCTGTATATATATATATTCACTTATTCTGAAGTTAAATATGAGAGAAGTGAATCTGTGTTCAGATAAGGCAAAGTCAGTGAACAGGCCTCCTTTCCTTCAGAACAAAGGCAGGCCATCAGGTTCCTAGCTGCCCCCGAGGACATTATAGGATACGGCAAAGGCTGCAGGTGGGATGATGAAGACACCAAGGGCTTCCTGGAGCATCCCATGCCCACAACTGGATGGCTCTACAAAGAACGCAAGTATCTGAGGCTGGAGAGGTCATGGGAGGAGACCATGCGGTGGGGTTCTTAGCAGGCTGGAGCAGGGGTGGGATTCGACCAGTTCGGGCGAACTGGATGTTAAATTTATATCTCTAGAGGGCCTCTAGAGCCTGGGAGAGGCTGTTTTCGCCCTCCCAGAGGCCTGAGGGAAGCCTCCGGACTCTGGGGAAGGTGAAGAATGGCCCCTCCCAGAAGTTCTGGTAGGCCACGCCCACCAGGGCCACACCCACCCAGCAACTGGGCAGCGAATTGGGCACTGGGATTTTTTGAATCCCTCCTCTGGGCTGGAGGTCACCATCTAGCTACGGGGACGCTTGTGGAGCACCTGACCTGGCTTGCAAGCCCGGAAAGGTCCACGCTGAGCAGACATGTGGGCCGGGCGTGGTCAAAAAAGTCAAGATGGCAGCCCCAGTGTAGCCATCGGAGCTCCCTCCGTTTCTGATGGACGTCACTGGCGCAGCCATGGCCGCCATCTTGATCTTTTTTTTAGGGGAGGGGTTTTTTTACACTTTGCGGACGTCCCTGATACAGAGGGGGGTGGGTTGAGGTGCCCAGAATGGTCTTGTTTGATCCTACAGGTCAAGTGACCCCTGCTGACCGTTTCGAAGCCGACTCGCATTACCCACGGCGCCCCAGTTTCTATGACAACTTTTTACTCGTTCCACACGATACGGGGTCACCAACGCCTTTCTCAGGATTTGACCGCTTTGAGGAGCCCCGAGGCCTCTCCTTTCACCCAGAAAACGTCTTCAGAGGTCAGTGGTTATGTGCCCAAGTGTGCGCTCTCTTTCTCTCTCTCCTTCTCCCTCTTTCCCTCTCCTTCCCTCTTTCCCTATCTCCCTGTCTTTCTCCCCTTCTCCCTCCCTCTCTCCTTCTTCCCTCTTTCTGTCCCCCTCTTTCTCTCTCTCCCCCTTGTCTCACCTCTTTTCCTCTTTGTCCCTCCCTTTCTCCCTCTCTTCCCCCTCTTTCTCACTCCCTCTCTCTTTTCCCTCTTCCTTTCTTCCTCTCCATCACTCTCCCTTCCTCTCTCTCTCTCCCCCATCTCTCCCTCCCTCCCTTTCTCTTTGTACCTATCTCCCCTTCTCTTTCTCCCTCCCTCTCTCCTCCTTTCTCTCTCTGTGCTTCCCTCTCTACCTGTCTTTCTCTCCCCCTTTTTCTCCCTCTTCCTCCTTCTCTCCTCCCCTTTCTCCCTTCCTCTCTGTCTTTCTATCCCTTTCCCTGTCTCTCCCCTTTTCTCTCTTTCTCCCTCTCCCTCCCTCCCTCTCTGTCCCTCTCTCCTCCTTTCTTTCTCCCTCCCTTCTTCTCTCCCCCTCTTTCCCTCTCTTTCTCTCTCTCTTTCTCTCAATGCTGATCTCAAGTTAGCAGTTGCTTCTAGCTTAACCAGAAACAGGCAGGGCATACAAAGGAATCCAGAGGCATTTCTGGGGGAAGTGAGACTGAGGAAGAACCCACTTAATGATGATAATTGGAATAGGAATTTCCATCACTGAGCAATGCGGTTGTAAAGAACGTAGACCCATTACCGTCGTTCAGCGAAACGCCTTGAGTGATTAAATGAGGAACCCCCGTGATTGCGACATGTGACATTCTGTAGATCAGAAACCATGTGGATGTAACTACAGGACACTGTGATAGTTGGAAATGGGAGCTGGTTGTCCAGTGCCCAGATCCCCAGATTGCAACCATGTGATCACATGGACTCTTTTTTTTAATTTTAATTTTATTAGACAAACACAAAAACAAAACAGAAAAGAACATTAAAAACAATGAACGTGGTGCAATCCTAACCCACATAGTTGTCTTACATTGCTAAGTTATCAAAATAGTGCATATTTACATTATATATGTAGTATATAATATACACAGTTAATCATTTCTTATTATCTTGATCCTTTCTCTTTTCTAACCAACCATAAACTTACCCATACTTTGTAATAACCCAATTCATCCTTATTTTTTAATTCTTTTAATTCATTTGTCCATTTCTGCACACATCCAGATCTTCCTAATTATTTCTGTTTCACTTGGAGTCTCTTTACATTTCCATTGTTGTGCACTAGCCAATCTCGCAGCTGTGATTATATTATTATTAAATATATAATATCCTTGTCGTATTCCCCACATTGCCAAATATCAAGTTTGTAGGCTTTACGGTTCTGGAGATTTTGTGAGGATGTGTGAGTGGTCTTTCACTTTTATATATAAACCAAGAGTTAATTAGGTTATAGGTGGGTTGTGTGAAGATCTCTCTTTTGATGGCGAAAACTGACTGCGTGTTAGAGGCGCATAGCGGGGAAAGCCTCTCTACCGCTTCTTCCCCGTTTTACTTTCTCCGCAGATGTGGCCCTCGACAACTTTCATTGCCACCTGTGGGGCCACCCGCATCCCTTCCCGCCTTACCCCTCCCACAATGAAGAAAACATCTTCCCAAGGTCCGGGTGGCATCGAAGAACACATGCGGGCGCTCCCTTCGTCATGCGCCAAGGGCCCTCGTACCGGAGAGACGTTTCGCCGTATCGGAAACGCAAAGTCCCCTTTAATCGCCACTGAGGAGCATCTCCTGCCAAGACGAGGGGAAATTTGTAGGGGAAAAACTGGCCACGGAACGTTTTCTCTCTCCGTTCCGTTTTGTGTGCACCGCAAATTGACGCGCGTCCTTGTGTCTGTGACAAAAAGGACGCCACTTCCTCTCCGGCTTTGATTGTTATTGTCCTGGCTATGGAATGGGACAATTGGCCGCGGCTGCCTGGCCCCGCCCCCTTCACCCTGGCTTCTCCTCCCCACCCCGCTCCATGCCAGGTGACCCACCAGAGCCGTCAATCGTCCATCCCGTTCCATGTCGCTCCTCGCTGCCACTTCGTCCTGGGCAATTCACTGCGGGACAAATTATCGATTTGCCACGCGGGGACAATTTAGCTCCGTGAGATCATTCCCGGGAAACACCCTACACCGAGACCCCCGGGGCCTGCAACTTCCGCCAGTACGGAGGGACACTGGTGGGCTTGGTTCACAAAGTAGCAAGAGGCCAGGAATTGGGTGGATTGGGTATCTATGTAGTGTCAGGAAGGAACCCTCTGAAATTCAGGGTTTGGGCCTGGTGCCCACTACCCTGATCATTTAGAAGCTGTCTTATTTCTGAGATGTTTGCTCCAGAATTGACTTCCTGGAGTTGTGTTCAGTATTGTTTTCTCTGCCCTACTTCGAGGTTGGAGTCTAAGCCCACTCCCACGAGGGAAAGCTTGGCCTTCGTGGTACTCCGAGTTAGAAAAGGATTCCAACGGACAGTGTAAGTTTGACTGGTGTGTATCTGCTTAGGCGTAATTCTAAAGAGACCGACACCCCCAAAATTATTTATAGTGGGAAAAGTTATAAGTTCCTTTGTTGATTGCAGACTCGAAAGTCCATTCAGAATTTTATGGCACAGTCCTTTATACTTTTTTTGCCTGCATTTCTTCTGTGTCGTTTTTTAAAAGAAAATTAAACCTAACTTATTCTTTACATCTGGAGGGTTATCGTAGTCTGTGCCCTTGTTTTCTCTACAGGGGTATTTCTTAACCTTGGACACTTTAAGATGGGTGGACTTCATCTCCCAGAATTCCCCAGCCAGCTATCTATCTGTCTGTCTGTCTGTCTGTCTGTCTGTCCGTCCATCCATCCATCCATCCATCCATCCATCCATCCATCCATCCATCCATCATATATCACAAGGGACTTCCAACTTGGCCAGTTTAAGACGTGGACTTCAACTTCCAGAATTCCTGACCTAGCATGACCAGAGGAGGAATTCTGGGAGTTGGAAGTCCACAAGTCTTAAAGCTGGAAGACTCCTGAATTAGGCAGTTCTTCCAGATCTAAAAAGCCACAAGATTATATTATCGGGGGCGGGGTGTGTGTGGAATAACACAACTTTATGCACAAATAAAATGAAAGGAACATTGTACACCAAACAAAAATGTATAAGAGGCACTGGGCAGGAGAGAGATTTTGCTGAAATAAGAGTGAGTTGTGAGTCAAAGTTGTTTAGATAAAAGTTTTTTTTTTCCAAAGTTGGCCACTGTAAAGATGTGTGGATTTCAACTCCCCAAATTCTTCAGTTTGGAATAAAGAAAAACTAGTGTAGTTGAAAAGGACAGAATAACATGTTCATTTTTTTAAAGTAAAATTTGACTTGAATATGGAAAAAATGATTTTAAAAAAGCAAAACGTTTTGCCAAAGAAAAGGAGTCGTTTTTAAAAAAAAATTTCCTGGTTTTCCCCATCAAATCTTTTTGTTCTTTGGCAGAGTGCGGGAAGGGTGGCAACTCTGGTGCGGTTAGCATAGAGATAAGGGGAGAAATTTATTATTGGGGGTGGGGAGGATTCGGGCGTAGCTGAAGGATAAAGAGGACAATTCCTTAAAATTTGAAAATATCGAGTTTTACAAGGAAATAAAGTGAATAATAAAACAAACTAAGACCTAAAAGGCCAAAATCTGAAGGTGGGTTTGAGCTGTTTTAAAATTCCAGATCAAAAATATGCTGGTTTCTAGTTCCCATCAGCCCAGCCTGTTTGACTGTGGATCATGGAAATTGTAGTCCGAAAGGCACCAAGGAGATGAAGCTTCTCCCAGTTTGAGAACAATCCCTGGGACGATCCCTCTCGCTTTCTCTTTCTCTCTTTGTCTCTCTATTTCTGTTTTTCTATTTCTCTCTCTCTTTGTCTCTCTTCACTTTTTTCTCTTTTCTCTCTGTCCCTCTTTCTCCCTTTGTCTTTTTCTTTTCCCTCTTTCTTCTCTTTCTCGTTTTTCCTCTCTCTTTCTCGTTCTTTCTCTTTCTCTGTGTCTCTTTTTTTCTTTCTCTTCGTCTCTCTTTTTCTGTGTGTATCTCTTTTTCTTTTTTCTCTTTTCTCTCTGTTTCTTTCTCCCTTTGTCTTTCTTTTTCCTTTCTGTCTCTCTCTCTCCTTTTCTCTTTGTCTCTTTCTCTCTTTTTCCTGTCTGTCTCTCTAGTCTCTTTTTCTTAGTCTCTCTCTCTCTTTCATTTCTTTCTCTGTCTGTTTTTCTCTCTGTGTCTCTCCTTTTCCTTTTTCTCTTTTCTTTCTTTCTCCCTTTGTCTTTCTTTTTCTTTCCTCTCTCTGTCTTTCTCTCTCTCTCTTTTCCCTCTGTCTCTATGTCTCTATCCTCTCTTTTTTCTCTTTCTCTTTGTCTATCTCTGTGTCTCTTTCATTTTTTCTTTCTCTTTGTCTCTCTATTTGTTTTTCTCTCTGTGTCTTTTTCCTTTTTCTCTTTTCTCCCTTTCTTTTTTCTCTTTTCTGTCTGTCTCTTTCTCCCTTTGCCTTTCTTTTTCTTTCCCTTTTCTCTCTCTGTTCTTTTCTCTTCTCTCTTTATCTCTTTTTTCCTCTCTCTCTCTGTGTCTCTATGTCTCTTTCATTTTTTCTCTTTCTCTATTTGTTTTTCTCTTTCTGCCTCTCTTTGCCTCTCTCTCTTTCTTTTTTCTCTTTTCTCTCTGTCTCTCTTTCTCCCTTTGTCTCCCCCCGCCCTTTCTCTACTACAGATTTGGCGAAGGGTCCAGCATGTTTCTTCTCTTAAAAGCTGTTGGCCGATGAAGGAGGATAGAACTTAAACAAGAAGATCTCCGTGAGAAACCTATGGCCGGCAATCCACAGGGTGTAAGCACTTCCAAGGGTAGGCTATATCTGGGACATCCTTTCAGGTATGTTCAGCCAGACGGATAAACAGGAGTTCAAAGACCCTTCCGTTGGGAAACCGTTTTTAGGTGGGTTGAACTCAGGCCACACAGAGCCTCTTCAGAGTGTTGGTTCAACTCCAACCAGGAGAAAGTTTGAGTGTCAGGGTTCCAACGGATGCCCTAATTAATTCATGAGCATCGAGCCAAGTTTCAAAAGAAATCCAATTATTTATTAGGAGCAACGTGTTGGCCTTTTTCCCAAGTGCAGGTGGCTCTGCTCTACGTAATTTATTGCCCACCTATGACCCTGTTCCCCCTCCCCCTCGTCCCAGGGTGTGTCATAAATCACATTCTCCAACTAAGGACTTTCCCGGGCTGTAGAAAACACACTTTTCCGGCTGGCTCTGGCTAACCTGGGACACAAACTGGAGGAAGGTATGCGTGGAATGTGCTTCTGGTCATACCAACCGAACTGTTCCCATCAGATCTCCCACCCCCACTCCCGGCCTCCTTCTTACGGCAACTCGAGAGCAAGCCAGGAATGCTTTGCGAGTTGACATTGAGCCTGCCTGCTGAGCCATCGAGTCTGAATGTTAGAACTCGCTTCTCCCTTTGTGGAAGGTGAATTGTGACCTCAGGCGCAGACCTCAGCGAGCGTCTGGGATTTTGTAGTAATACCAGTAGACCGAAAAGCCTACCAACTTAGCTAAGAAAGAAGGGTTCAACTGTAGGACTTTGTGGAAGCCCATGTTCTCATAGATCCGTTGAGCAATGCGTTGTACCATGGAAGTACCCAACACGACTTCTTGGTAGCCGCGCTCCCGAGAAAACTGGATGGCAGTCTTGATGAGGGCCTTGGAGAGCCCTTGGCCTCGGTGCTCCTTCTTCACGGACAAACGCTTCAGCTCCCGGGCGTTGCCCCACCAAGATGGGTTCTCTGGAGGGATGATGGCCACCATGCCAACCACTTCCTCTCCGGTGTCCACCACCCAGAAACAGGAGTCCTTGGTCTCCAGGTAGGTCCTCCTGATGTCCATCATGTCCGTGGTGAGGGCATGTTGGAGATAGTCGTCCCACAAGTTTTTCATGGAAGGCACGCCAACCACCAGGAAGATGGACGCGGCCGCCAGGGAGATGGTGTAGGAAGCCGAGCTCAGGTAGGTCAGGAGGAAGATGGACAGAAGACCCAGGTGTGTCTGAGGAGAGCTGAGAAAGTGCCACAACGCCCGAGGAATATGTTCCTTGATCCCTTGAATGTAAAAAGTGCGCAGCATCTCATAGTCTCTCTCCTCATACTTCCGGATGTGGTACTTTACTGCCACCGAGCCACGTTTCTCCCGTCCTGGAAAAGAGAAGATGTGGAAGAACAACAGGAGGAGGAGGAGGAGGAGGAGGAGGAGGAGGAGGAGGAGGAGTCTGTTCATGGTTTGGGGAGCCCAAATGTCACTTGCAGAGAAGTGACGGAGGGAGGGGGACAGGTGTCCGTCTTCTGAACATCTCAGCTCCAATTAAGGATGGGATGGGATGGAATAGGATTAGGATTAGACAGAGGGTCAGGATTAGGAATTGGATTAGGAATAGGAATTTGAATAGGATTGGAGTAGGAATAGAATTGGAATAGGATTAGGATTAGACATAGGATCAGGATTAGGAATTGGATTAGGATTAGGAATTGGAATAGGATTAGGAATAGTAATAGGATCAGGATTAGGAATTGGATTAGGAATAGAATTGGAA